TTGAATATTATACCGGAAATAGATTCCGTGAAATGTGCTCTAGTTTGTACTCGTTTTGTGTAAAAAATACAGTTTTTGATGCACCACAAACTGATGTATACAAGCTAAAAATCACATATTATGATCATCTTGTTTCATAATGTAGAGTTTGAATGGGATAAAACGGGTACAAAAGTGATAATATTCCATATAATCTCGAATATTCCACTAAATTTGAGGAGTTGAGGGGGTGATTGTAATTATCCAAACAAGAGGGGTGTTTTTGTAATTCGACCATACCTAGGGGGGTGTTTGTAATTTACCCTTTTATTTTATTTCAAATGCACATAATTTTCAAATTGCACGTGATGTTAATTAAAAGAGAACATGTTATGCTTCCTAGGATGGTCTTTTAGCTATATAGACACTATAGTTGAAAAATCAAATAGCATTTTCCATAAAAAAAATATAAAAAAAAAATAACCAACCTCTCAACAAAAGGAACCATTTTGTTACATTCGCAGAACCAGGATTTTTGTAAGTTCGTGGGTTAAATGCATTTTAAAAGAATTAGAGGGAGTCGTTAATACTTTTGTTCCCCAAAAACTTATATTTTTATATAATTAATATATATTTTTAAAATGTATTGGGGAAAAATAATAAAAATAAAAATTGTAAGTAGACAGAATATTATAATAGTGTTGACATATAAGATTTCGATTTGTTGCAGCTTGTCACACTCTAGGATTCTCACACTGCACCCAAATCACGAACCGGCTCTACAATTTCAGCCCAGGAACCCCGGTCGACCCGACCCTAAACCGGCAATATGCGACCCAACTACAGGGTATGTGCCCGCGGAATGTGGATCCGAGAGTAGCCATTGACATGGATCCGACAAGTCCTAGGATATTCGACAATGCGTATTTCCAGAATCTTGTACAAGGAAAGGGTTTGTTCACTTCGGATCAAGTTCTTTTCACGGATTCAAGATCAAGAAATACTGTCACTACTTGGGCATCGAATTCTCAGGCCTTTAACGCTGCTTTCATACAGGCTATCACTAAATTGGGTCGGGTCGGGGTCAAGACCGGAGGAAATGGGAATATTCGTTTCGACTGTGGAAGGTTCAATTGAGATTTTAAAGGCATATTTTGATTGTAAAAATAAAAAATAAAATTAAAAAAAAAATCAAAATTTCATGGTTTCTAAGAAATAACAAAGTGAATAAGTGAATATCAATGGGTCTCACTATGTGTGGAAATGAATTAAGTTAAATTATGTGTAATAAATGTTTTTAATTCAATGGTGAAAAAAATAAAATAAATCGTTTCAATATATTTTTTTTCTTTTTTGCTATTATTACTTGGGGTTGTCTAGGGTCCGAGAGGGGTTGTACTACTCGGACCCAAACAATTTAATCTGGTGCGTAGAAAATATTAAGTAAAAATTTATAGTCGTTGATTTAAAGTACGAACTAGTACGATCCAGTACGAACCTATGAATTTATAAATTAAAGTACGAACCCAGTAAAAATAGATCGTACAAAGGTCGTACTCCATCGTACTTCATGTAAAATTACTTTATTAACCTTACATTATTAAACCAGAGAATTAAAAGTAGGGTTAACTGTACTTTGCCCCTAACTTTGGTCATTTTTGCTCTTTGCCCCCCAAATAAAAAAAAAAAAAATTCACGATCATACCTTGACTAACTAATTTAGTCCAATTTCACCAATTAACCAATTTTTGACCATAATTTTAATTTTGACCCCAATTTTGACTCGCCACCACCGGAGACCGCCAGAGACCCACGGTCTCCGACGTTGACTCTTTTTTTCTTTCAAAACTTTTTTTTTGTCTGAATTGTTTTTCCGGTAGCTCAATTGCAGGGTCTCCGGCTTTGATTTTTTTTTTTTTAGATTTTGTTTTTTTCTAAAAAAAACTATTTTAACTAATATTAATGTATTGGCTGTTAAATTACTGTCTCCAGCAGTTATTTAACTGTCAGAGAGAGTAATTTAATGTTAATTAACCTTTTTTCCTTCAAAAAAATATATTAATTAATATTACTATCTTGACTGCTAAATTACTGTCTCTACAGTTATTTAACTGCCGGAGACAGTAATTTAACTGTTAATTGACTTTTTTTTTCTTAAAAAAAATATTTTAATTAATATTACTGTCTTGGCTGCTAAATTACTGTCTTCAACAGTAATTTAACTGTCGGATACAATAAATTAACTGTTAATTGACTTTCTTTTTTGAATTTTTTTTTCTTAAAAAAAATATTTTAATTAATATTACTGTCTTGGCTCAAAATTACTGTCTCCAATAATAATTTAACTATCTGAGACAATAATATTATTGTATTAATTAATTTTATCGTCTTGGCCTGCATTATTGTTGTCTTCGACTGTAATATTATTGTCTTCGACCGTAATATTACTGTCTCAAGCAATAATATCACTACTTGGGACAGTAATATTAGTAATATTACGGTTCGGGAAAGTAATATTCATAATATTACTGTCCGAAACAGTAATATTATTGTCTGAAACAGTAATATTATTGTATGAGACAGTAATTTAGTAGGCAAGATAGTAATATTAATTAAAATATTTTTTTCTAAGAATTTTTTTTTCAAAAACAAAATAAAAAAAAATGTCAACGCCGGAGAGCGGCGGTCAACTGCGGTTGACCGGCCGGAAAAAAAAATTCAGAAAAAAAAAGTTTTCAAAAAAAAAAAAAAGTCAACGCCGGACACCGCCCGCCCCGTCAACGCCGGAATCTGGCCGGAAAAAAAAATTCATAAAAAAATTTGTTTTCTAAAAAAGAAATATTTTTTCAAAAAATTATTAAAATGGGGGTTAATGTGATATATTTGTTTAAATTCGGGGTCAATGTGTAATATTAAGGAAGTTAGAGTATAATAGATAAAAAAATAAATTATGGAGGGTATTTTAGAGTAAAGACATGGTGATGGGTTTATTTGAAATTGTTGTTTATGTGGACCAATGTGCATTTAAGTCCTTTGTCATGGCCCTAATTATTAATTATTATTAATTGTTACTTAAGTTTTAGTTATAGGGATTTTTACGTAATTTCACTTATAAGGTAGGTATCGTACTTTTTTTATGGGGTTCGTACAAATCATACGTGTCACATTTTTATTGATTGATTTTCAATCGTTTGGGTCCGAGTAGTACAACACCTCTCGGACCCTAGACAACCCCTTATTACTTTTAATTAGATGAAATAGTTAGCGAAGACCAACCCTCATTAGGAGAGTTGGTACCTAGCTCTTTACCACTAGGGTAACGGTCTAGGGTTCGAGTCCCCCCACCCCTATTTCCCCTTGTAATGGACTTGAATTTACTCAAAAAAAAAAAAAAAAATAGTTAGCGAAGAGTTGACTAATTAGAAGGGTGTTCAGCTATTTTATAAAGCTCATTCACATTCATTAACTAGTTTTCTTGATACACATGAATAAATAGTAAACAACTACAGTTAAATCTCATTGACTTAAATCTCATTGACTTAATACAACGGAACCAGCAAAAGTCTATTAATTTAGTAAAATGTTAAATTATCGAACTAATAATTTAGTACATTTTTACCGAATCAGGACAGGATAGAATTATTATTAAAACAATGTTATTAATTTATCTCGTATTAATTTATGTAGGTTCTACAATATTTTAAATTAAATGGAGGCTTTGAAATTTTAAGCAACTAGGCAATAATAGAGTTTATTACAAGAGGATTTTGGCGCAATTTTTCAATAAAATGACAAAATTGGCTAAAAGAAAACGATATTTTACAGAAATCTTTATGCAAAAAAGCAATAAAGTTTTACTCAAAAGAGTTTGGTTGCAAATTTTGAGCGTGGCAAAAGAATTACATCTCTTACCCCAAATGTCCTATAAATTACAATAATGGCTAAAAAGAAAAGAATATTTGACAGAAAACCATATTTTTATAGAAGCCCACAAAAAACTTGTTAATAATGTCTACCTATCTTTATAAATTTGGCTTTTCCTTCTTACACTCTAACTCCAATTATTTATACTAAAGCAAAATTCCGATTACTTTTTCCACGAATTTTTCTTTTACTTTTTCCCCTTTTTAGAGAATAAATTTTGTTAGTACAATGTTTGTTTTTGTTTGTAACTATGGAAGCCGCAACCAATTATATAGGCGTACTGGATAAACTACACTCTTGTATAATAATTTACAAACTATACGAGAGACGTAAACTACATTAGGATAACCAAATGTGACAAATTCAATCTAACAACCGTTGGCGAGTGGGTTTGAAACTGGATCAATTGACACATTTTCACGTGCTCAAATCGTTAGGTCATCCCTAAATAGTAAAATATTATTTAATAGAGCTAACTAACCAAGGCATGCAACCTAATTGGAAAAAGCATCCTCAATAAGAGTCTTTTTCAAGTCATATATTAATATTCATTTATTAACTATAGTATTTATGATTGCTTTTCAATTAGGGGGAAATCGAAATGGAATTTTATAATCCCTTCACAAAATTATGGTTTCAGATTTTTCTGATTGAAATTATAATATATATATGAGATTTTAATTTTTTTAATCTAATTTCAATTATTTTAAAATAATTCATTTATTTTAATCATCCTAGAATTACACATACAATATCACGTATTTATTTTACATTATAAATGAATAAAAAGTGATATTCTTTTTTTATTTCGACGATTCCAGCCGTCCGAAAAATTTCCAATGTTGGAAAAAGTTTTTTCTTCCCAAATCTTGAAATTCCAATTTCTGATTTTTCGAGTTTTGTTTCTTAGCTTTTCACTTCCCAAAGAAAAAATATTCAAAATTTTCCAAAAGTATTAAATTCATCCAATCCCTCCGATTTCCATCTCCTATCATCAATTCCTCTATAACATTGTACACGCCTCGAATTATATTGGTTTCCGAAAGTATTAATTCCGATCCGACCTGTAAAATTTTTACATCTACCCTCAATTATTTCTAACACTATATATATAGTACAAAGTTTTCTCAAATAAGTTACATCGCAGTAAATGAGAAAAACCGATATGGGCCGAGTTAATTCTCTTACAAGTCTAATATTATCACTTTCCGTGAGTATTATTCTGTTTTCCGGCCACCCTACGTCGGCGGAGCTCCGGCAGAACTTCTATTCAAACATATGCCCCGACGTCGAAAACATCGTAAGAAGCGCCGTTTCAAGAAAAGCCAGCCAAACGTCAATTACCATCCCGGGCACGCTTCGGCTCTTTTTCCATGACTGTTTTGTTTCGGTACGTACTCGTAATTATATTAATTAACTATTATTTAATTTAATTTACGTACAATTAATTAATCACGGTCATAATTAATTACTTGTACCTTGTGCTGTCTGATTTGTACATAAATTAAATGTGTGTTTCTGCGTGTGTTTTTTTTTGTAGGGGTGTGATGCGTCGGTGATAGTGGCATCGACGGAGCGGAACACGGCGGAGAAGGACCACCCGGACAATTTGTCACTCGCCGGAGATGGGTTCGACACGGTGATCAAAGCCAAAGCCGCCGTGGATGCCGTCCCACGTTGTAAGAACAAGGTTTCTTGTGCTGATATTCTTGCATTGGCTGCTCGTGACGTCATTGTCCTGGTTTGTACTTTCTCTCTCTACACTCTCTCTCTCTCTCTAGAAGTTGTGAATTAACATGGTGGTGGTGTATGTGGTGGTGGAGCAGGCTGGTGGGCCCACGTATCCGGTGGAATTGGGGAGATTGGATGGGTTGAGCTCCACGTCAGCAAGTGTGAATGGGAATCTGCCTCAGCCGAATTTCAATTTAAATCAGCTTAATTCCATGTTTGCTTCTAGAGGTTTAACACAAGCTGATATGATTGCTCTTTCAGGTAATTAATATATGCAATTACGAAAAAAACCTTAACATTTGAGGAATTACAATCGACTCCCTTATATGTATTGTCTTACATGTCCCTTACAGTGACAGATTTACGGTTTTTCGTAAGAGAATACAAAGATGAGAGGGGTGGATGTAATTACCAAAACTTTATCGGTTTTTTCGCAATTTGATCCAATTTCAGGGGTTGGCTGTCATTTGCCCAATTTTTTGTGTGAAATAAAGTCACATGTGAAATGACTCTAAGATGTGTTATTCTAAATTTTTATATATTACATCATATATTAAACTATTTTCACAATTACACCAATTTTTTTTTTTAATTCTTATGAAATTTTAATTTTTGTCCCTCGAAAATAAATAATTACAATTGTTGAGTGACAAAAGATTTCAAATTTCTTACAGGTGCACACACTCTAGGATTCACACACTGCAGCCGAATCACAAACCGGATCTACAATTTCAGCTCCGCGAACCCGGTCGACCCGACCCTAAACAAGCAATACGCGAGCCAATTACAGGCTACGTGCCGGAGAAACGAATCGGATCCGAGAATATCCGTCAACTTGGATCCAACAACTCCTGGAATATTCGACAATGCCTACTTCGAGAATCTTATCCAAGGGAAGGGAATCTTCACTTCGGATCAAGTTTTATTCACGGATTCAAGATCGAGAAATATTGTTACTAATTGGGCTTCGGATTCTCGGGCTTTTAATGATGCTTTTATTCGGGCTATTACTAAACTGGGTCGGGTCGGAGTCAAGACCCAAGGAAACGGGAATATCCGTTTTGATTGTGCAAAGTTTAATTGAGATTTTAAATAAATTCAAATACTACTATTTGAATCGGGTTTAGCGGGTTTTCAATAAATAAATAAAATATCGATTAATTTTATCATGATTTTAAAAAACTAACAAAGTGGATATTGTTGGATTTCGGAAATGCTACATTAAGTGAAATATACCGAATAACATGTTGTCGTAGATTAACGCATATTCACATGCATCTTTTTGCGAGTATTGAAATATATTTCGGATGAGCTTTTTTTTTTAAGATGGAGAAAACATGAACAATTGGCCCATCGGCCCGCCATTCACAGCAGACACTAATTTAAACTGGATTTTATAAATTGAAGGCCCAGCCCGTAAATTTAAGAAATACTAGTGTGAACAACATTTTTCTAAAAATATGCTTCATTTTAATCAAAGAATAACTATTTATTAATATTACTATTTTCCTTTTTATTTTAAGTTATATTATTCATCTTTCTTCGATTTATTTATTTCTTAAGAAAATTATTTCATTTTTTGATTAAAAAAAAAAAGTAAAGTTATTTCGTGGTACAACTGCATTAATAATTTGTTTTTACACGAAAAATCACGGTCACTCAAAGTTGCTTAATGTCAATACACACTAATTAAATCTTGATAGAAGATAAAACTATTATTTGACGAATCTACCGTTTTGTGTTCTTCAACTTCTCTTTATTACTTCGTTAATCTATTATTAATGATGGGGTAAAGATGAAAAAAAAAAAAAATCATGTTAGCGCTAGAACATTCAAAATATAATATTACACTCAAGTAACTTATATACGAGGACTTTCAAATTTAATTTCTAAAATAAGATCAAAAAGCTTATTAACTCCTAAAATATTTTATCGGTTACAGGAGTTTGTTTATAAGATGTTTTAAATAATGTTAACCAAATGGGCACTAAGTCATCCGTTTTGTTACAAACCACTCATAAATATTATTATTTTGTCGAGTTTGTCACATATGGTTAGTCTAATGTAATTTATATCTCTCATATGGTTTGCAAGCTATTATACGAGAGTGTAGATTTATCCAGTGCACTTATATAATTTACTGTTAGTTTCTTCATTATTAAATTTAAAAAAATATATATAATATATGTACCCCATGATATGAGAACGTAATATTACACTATAATAATTGTCAACCTTGAAATATATACTAATTCTATATTCCTTTTGCTGACACTATTTTAAATCTCTTTCACTTGATTGAATGAGTCAACCTTCGCCAACGAGAAAGGCATCATTTTCTATTATTTAACTATTTAATTATTATTATATAATAAATATTTATGGCTGATAAAATAAAATAAAATAAAAAATAAAAATGACCTTGAAAGCCCTCGAAGGGGCATATGCCCCTCCATGCATGTAAATGTGGCCATTGATAGCCAATAGAAGTACAGTCTTTTAAAAATTCGTGGGCGCAGCCCCCGAACCCCCGTAAACTATTAGCCAATCATTATATTTTTTACTATATTTAATTTCGAACACCCTTGGCAAAAATCCTGAATTCGCCACTGAAGCCAGAATAAGATATTTTTTTTTTAGTTTAATAATTCCACCAATATTCCGAATCTCAAAAGCCATCACAAAAAAAAAATATTAAATTAAATAATATAGAAAAATTAAATAAAAGAAAGATTATAATAATAACGTCACAACTCCCACTTTAAGACAAACCTATATAGTATATATAGTGGCAACTTGCTAAAATAGAATCCAACACCAAAATCTGCTTATAAAAGCAAGTGGCCCCATTTCATTGTTTTCTCCCTTTTCAATACATAGATGAACAATATATTTATTTATTCCAAAATAAAAATAAAAATAAGGAACGATAAATTATCAACCTCAAATAATTGTGGGGTATCATTGCTTTTGAGATCCTACACCGGGTGAAATACACTGGGTAGATCTTTACCATTCATATACAAACAAGCACACACACACCCACATTGGTGTGTGTAGATCAACGGTAAAAAATCACCCGGTGTAACCTTCACCGGGTGTAGGATAGATAAAACCGGGTATCATGGGTAAACTAATAAATTTTCACTTCATTATTGCAAGATTCCTTTTTGTTTACCCTCTTCATTTCTTTTAGATGATATTTACGTGTTTATATTGTATTATATCGGGTAGATCTTTACGATTTATAAGTATACAAATATGCTGATGTGTATAGATCAACGGTAAGTATGCACTGGTGTAATCTTCATCAAGTCTAACGTAAAAAATAACCATGTTTAAGATAGATCTGCCCGATTTACGTTATGTGGTCATGTTAAAAATAAAAATAAAGATATCCATTTGATACTTTACAATGTTACAAAAATCAATTAAAGCTTAACTTATAGTGAGATATTGGAAATTAAAATCATTTTAAATACCATGTTAATTAGGAGATGCATTATTATTTTAAAATCTACATCAACAATAATTAGTAAACCCCACTTGTTAGGGGATCACTTAAAAAATGCACATAATTATAAAAACAAAGTACAATAATAAATATAATGTGTTACTAATTAATTAAATGTTAAAGAAATGTATATATAATTATATATGCATATGCACCAAGAAGCTTGGAAATTTGTCGAAGTACAATGAAAAGCAACGGTGGTGATATCCGCGTCACACTTTCCACCACTTTGTCGTCTTTAGCATACACAATTATTTTATTTACATTTTTATTTATGTATTTATTTATTTATTTAAATAAATTATTATAGAATATTGGTTCAAATTATGGAGGTAGCTTGGACCTGCCCCCTCAATTATATATATTCCATTTCAAAATTAGAATCATATCCATGTGCAAATGTCTTTTCTTTTTAAGTTCCGTATCTTTTGGCAATCTAATAAAATAAATGCAAATTTATTGGAAATAAAATTAAAATTTTATGTGATGACGTCACTAATTACAAATTTAGAAGTTAGTGACAAAATAATGTTACTATTTGATGAGAACTATTAGTATTATTGTCATCGGGCGTCGCGCGTGATATATCGAGCATCTGATGTTCCGACAGCAGTATCTATTATCCCTTTATGCGCGTCACACTAATAGCAATTTTTTTGTAGTGATCAGCAAAACAAATAATACGACGTGGAGTTTTATTTGTGATACTTAACTTCATTATTGAGTACAAGTTTTTCGAGTTTGAGCTCGAGCTTATAGCCAGCTCGTGAGATTCATGAACTGATTTATCGTATTTACACACATAATCTATGTTATTTGGGGGTTTTGTAGATGTTACATTCGATGAAATATACCGTGTGATCATGCACTATTGATTTACACTTAATAACACACACTTATATATGTATGTGTGCTTAGTGAATAATTATTTGTATAGATCTATGATGTAAAATCACCTAATGTTTTTCCCTTCAAATTGTATCAACTTGAGAGATACAATCTTTTTTTTTTTTTTTTGTTAAATGAACTCAAAATCACGCTTAATAAATTTTAAATTCCTACCTCCAATCAAATTATTTATATATATATATATATATATATATATATATATATATATATATATATATATATATATATAATGGTGGGTCACAGTTGATTATGGACCACAATATGATATGGTGGACCGAAGCCCAAAATACCGGAACAGGGTCAAGTGGGGACTGATCGAATGCGGCGTCCAGCAGTAGGCCCATTCTATCATAATTTAATGACGCATTTAATTAATTAATATATTATACGTATACAAAAAGAATCTTTAAAAAGAAAGATTAGATAAACCAATCACTAGCTTACATAATTATTAAATTATTATGGTTGAGTGATAAAATATATTTTTGAATTTTGATAATACTTTATATGTCCACCTTTTCATTTTGAATTGGATAGGATTTTGATCGAGTCCAAAGTACAATTAAACTTCTATAAATATAACGCAGGAAACAGCTTAATCATATTAATTAGCAAGATATTAATTTATGAAATTATATTATTATTTTTATTTTCAATAAATATTGAAAAAAACGTATCGTTGGATGGTGAAACTATTCAAAAACAACAAAATCTAAACAATTAAATTATCGTAACAAAATGGACGTTGGATATATCTTAAACAATTTAAATAAAAAAAAAATAGGGTAAATTTCAATCACCCCTGAGGTATGGTCAAATTACAAAAAACCCCTTTTGTTTGGATAATTACAACCACCCCTTCAATTATAAATCTTTTTATATGTCCACCCTTGCGGTTTCAAATTTCGTCGAATTTTCGAGATTATATGGATTATTATCACTTTGTACCTATTTTATCCGATTCGAATTCCACATTTTGAAGCAAAATGATCATAATATATGTTTTTAAGCTTGTATATATCAGATTTTGGTGCATCAGAAACTGTATTTTTACACAAATCGAGTACAAACTAGAGCACATTTCACAAAATCTAGATGATTATGTTGAATTTGACACCATAAGAGCAACTCCAGTGGAGGAATTAAATGGGGAATTAAATGGAATAACTTCTTTTTTGATGCTCCAAAACATAAATTTTCATCTCCAATGGGGGAATTAAATTGGTAGTTATTTTGATATTCAACTTTCCGAGATGGAAAAATGCATCCTGGAAAAAGAGGTATCAAATCATTAACTACCCAACAAACCAATTAAAAATTGACACGTGTCAATATTAAATATATTTATGCTTATATTTAAAATTAGATGATTCATTTAATGCTTGCGGTGGAGTAAATGAGTATCAAAATAATAGAACGAGTATCAAATTAATATTTGATGATCGATTTTGATACTTTACCATTGGATGTAAGAAAAAATCATAGTTGAGGGGTAAATGTAATTATCCAAACAAGAGGGGTTTTTCCGGTAAATTAACCATACCTCAGGGGTGGTTGAATTTACCAAAAAAAATATAATACATAAGAAATTCGAACCGGAGTTTTTGGCTCCACAAAATTAAAGAAAGAAAGAAGCACAAATAACTGACCAAAAAGCCCACATGATTACACACACACACAGT